CCCATATAGTATTGTATTATCACGTGTGCGCCAGCTGACTGTGCTTTTTCCGTATTCCACAACCAATGCGTCACCACAGTGAGGTTAATTGCACTTTACGTTTTATGTAAGTGACGTTCAGCACCGTCAATGAGGTTTTTCAATCAAACCTCATTAATTGTACTGAACGTTGTGTTTGTATTCGAAGCCCACACATAAGCGACGCTACCAGATATATAGGCAAGCTAACAAGCCACGCCAGCCTAGCGACTATATGCTCAGCAAAAGTTTTGTACACACTCCTACCATGTCATAATCTGTAATATGCAATTAAAATTCTGGTTCCTCCATAACTCTGGATTATCGTTAAGCATGTGATAGTGTACCACTTGCTTCGATAATTCACAAATTAATATGTATGTTTTTTGGCTCATAAGCTATATATTACAAGAATATTCTTCTTATAAATGAATCAATTCTTGTTGGTGATCACACATTAAATATGTTCCAGCGGCACTGAAATGAGTAGACGTTTTTACCTTGCCCATATCCTCGAAGATAGAAGATATATTAAGGGAAAAATGTTTGTCCTGCGTTGTCGTCGTCGTTAATTGTTATTGTGTGCACAATAACTTTACTAGTTCTATTCTAAACTTTATCAAACTTGGTCACCTTATTCATCAGTATTCTTCCTTTAGTATGAACGACAGATGTCCTGTATCAAAATTGAGAAAATCTGATAAATATTTTGACTGTTTCTACTGACCATTGGTGACACACATTCAAAGGTCACTGATCCCAGTGGGAATATGCATTGTTGTATGTGTTCAATGAAGCAAATCATTTATCGTGTAATAATATCGTTGGTAATGTATCTCTCAAATTCCATGGGAATAGTAGACTGGGTTTCAAAACCAACTCATCTTTACAGAAAACAAGATGTAAGAAAATCAATATAAACACTCCTATGAATTGGATGCCAATCTTTTGATCAAGATCTGAGTTCAATAGAAAATCTGTTTAGTCCAAAGTTATCAAATTAAAAACAATGCAAAAATACCTAATAGGCAAAACGTTGCATCCACATTTTGAAAGGAAAATTTTACCCCAAAATATGTATTCTGTATTTGACAAACAGTTCATTCGACAAATGAAAATCAAAATTCACAGGAATTTGTTTCAGTTATTAGAACAGAATTATAGAGCTTTTATAATACTAATTTAAAAACGCACTTCAAAAACAACGATTGCAGTGTTTGAAGATGTAGATTCTCAGGATGCAACAGTACTGTTGACTTCTCTCTCCACTGGACACCAACTTGCAACATGGTAGTTATTCATAGTTTTTTTACTTTTCAAATAATACAGTAACCACACAATAATAAGGCAGTTCATATTTGTCCTAGTAAATCTGTACAAAATACTTGGACAAAAGACAGCTAAGATTTTCTGTTATCTTGCATGTTTTATGAATCTATTCACGTCTAAATGCAGCAATTTTTCTGGAAAGATGGGGCATTTGTTTTTATACTAGAATATCTGAATTACTTTGACTAACGCTGGAATTATGTCCCTTAAAATAATTAAACAAATTAGACACCAATGTTTTTGTAAGATACATCAATCAAGGACATTCGGTAGACTGCTTTCCCATTGTTGTTTCAATCCCAAAACTTGTTTGTATTCACAATTAATTATAATAATTCATATTCACAGTGAAACAAATTATGATAAAGGGAATGATATTATATAACAAAGGGCAAGGTCACCTGATTTCAACTATGTTGTTTTGAAGTGTCATTCCGATACAGTATAGTATATAAACTCACTAGAGTGCACCGATCGATTCAACTGCACCAACAACTTAACCAACTGAATTATTTTGTTCAAAAAATGTTATGATACATAACCTGTAGAAAATAAATGCAAAATATTTATCAAAAACAGTGCTTGGGCTAACGTATTTTACCAGGACTAGTTAGTGATTTGAACTTTACACAATTACTCCCAGACACGTTGTTATCAATGATGATTAAAGTTCATGTTGTTTGTGTTGATGCTACTTATTCGTCTCGGACTACCATATGATAACATTGCAAAGAACTCGACAGGTTTAACTTAAATACATTTAGTGGTAATGCACTATACAAAGAGTCGGCACTATTCATGTCATCTTTCAGAATTATATTCAGTCCATGTCGGTCATATGTGTGTAGTTGCACATTTTTAAAATGTAGTTATATATTTATAGCAGGAAGCTGCAATGGATACTGACAATGAAAAGAAGGATACACAACAAATGGACATTTGTCTTTCAACACCTGAAGAAACTTCTCTATGCCATGCTGACGAGATGTCCACCAATCAGCAACATAAATACCTTGATGACCCGAAATCAGATGTATATTTAAAAGGAAATTGGTGGAGCAGATTTAAACCAATACACAGAAAGAAGTGGTAATGATTTATTAATCTAGCATTACAGGAAAATGATTAGCTAATCTCGATTTGTTCTTTATTACACAACTAAAGCACATTTATGACAGCAGCAAAACAAAATACATACATACAGTTCACTGTATTATACTTATTACTTTACCATGGGAATATATATATATATATATATAATGTAGTTACAGTAGTCGATTATTCCAAAACAAAAGTGCTCAATACAATATATATATATATTTCTCTTTTATTTAGCAAATCTAAATATTTACCGTTAGACGATATTGGTTTATTATCATTTATATATATTACATGGCTATCTCCATTGATTAAGAAAGCATCCAAGACAGGTTTGACTGCAAATGATCTTTGGCAGTGTGGAAAGGCTGACTCGGCAGCATATAATGCACAAAGGCAAGTTGTATATTTTTACGTTACATAGAAGGGCGGTGGTCCTCGTGCAGCATTGCGCCGACCACCGTCCCTGAAACCGTATTTAAACATCACATTCAAGTAAATCATAAGCACGTACGAACAATGAGACATACATATTCCCTTAGACACATGTACGGTCAAATCAGTGGTTGATTGATTAATCGACCCCGATCGCCATGTATTCAACAGTTTATTGACACTCCAAGAAATAATAAAATCGGCACATTTTGTATTTGATTGATTATACATATAAACCTTACAATATATTTTTAAATCTGAGAGTGTATTTACCTCAGAGGGGCTAGAGATAAGTACACTGAAGTAAATAGAATAATGACTATACAAAATATAGTTATATGATCTAGACATAAGTAATATACATACTGTGACAGGTCCTCGTCTTGAAATCAAGCTCTCTGTGATTTAGGGAAATCTGCTATATTTGTGTTATATAGATAACGAAATTGTAGGTAGGTCAGCCTAGTTTCCGGGTGCTGCTCAACATTTTTACAGAAATGTCAATAACCCTGAAAAAAATGTTCAAGGGCAATTCGTTAATACATATTAAACGAAAAGGTTAGAGTAATTGATTCCTACATAACTATTATTAAAGCTTATCAGCATGACAAACATTTACTCACACCCAAACGTAGCAGGAATTCCGAACCATGGAGTCAAAACTGAGTATCAACTCCTTATAACATTTATTTAGCACCACACAACCCACCTGGAATGCACCCAATACTTTGTCGTTGCGCTTTGGATGTAACCACCAATATGATTGTTCTATTACTTACCTTCTTTCAGACTTGAGCAAATATGGGAAGAAGAACTGAGAAAAAATGGAATTGAGAAATCGTCTCTTTTTAAAGTTTTTATAAAATTCAGCAAATTCTATCTTTTGATTTGTGTTGCTGCTTTGTTGGTGTATAACACTACGATATTTCTCCTCACTGTAAGTACCACTCATATAAGTTATGAATAATTACTCGTCTCCTCATGAGTGTGATGTATTGAATTTATAAAGCGGATTAAAAACATTAGAATAAATTATGACAATCAGCGAATATTGTATTATGATAAAGTCTGTGCTAATAAAGATACTTAATATATTTCTACGATGAGATCGCGCGTGCGCAAATGTACACATTGCGTAATGTTCAGTCAATCATGTTATCGGCCTTATAAAAGTGTTTTCCACAATTATTCGAATGATATTGTTTGTGCAAATGCTTATACACTTATGGCAGTGTTATTAAACTTGTAGTCAGGTACATTTATATCAATTTTGCGGACAATTTGTGAAGCTGTCAGTACAATCAAAACAACAACCATAAAAATGGTGCAAAGCAGACACTCGTATCCAATTTATTCCCTTTCACTGCATGTAACTCATTAAAGTATGAGAGCAAAGTCTATGTTAGCGTGGTTGCCAACATTTTGTAGAATGCAAGTCGTACGGCTAGAATGAAATAAAAACTATTGAGGTGACTAAATCTGTATCGTATAGTCCGGCATATACTAATTAATATAATAATATTTGACATTCTAATGTATATTTTGAGGTATATATGGGTGTATAAAACATACTGACATCACCCTACAAGAAAACCAGAGTTCAGAGCAAGTTATTCTCAAATAATAGTAACCGGCAGTATGTGCTGGGTAAAACTATGAATTGATATTGGATTTCATGGGTGTGGCATTAAACTAGCAGGATACACATCTCACTGGCCACACCAAACAAACGATTTCAGAGAAGCGGTCACGAGATTTAGAGACGCGTCATGGTAATTATAATTTCAATTTTCATATCACAAACGCAATGTAAACGTCATCAGATGCGCTAGTCAACTAAAACATTTATTTTGGTAAAAATTAATGAAATGAACACTCATTCTCTATTGTTTGTTGAATTGAACAGAAAATGGTATTTCTATTACATTGATATTAATACCCTTTTTCCCTATTTGTGTTTGTGGATTTTCCCGTTAAGTTGTGGTACAATCTAGTGTTTATTTATTGCAGGTAATTACGTTTCACCTCTTGAAGTATATTCAGGGAACTGAGACAGATCTTCGATATGCATTGAGTCTGTGCTTTGGAATGCTAGGACTAGAAGCTATACGCTCTGTAGCGATGTCATTAAATTTTAATCATTCATACAGAATTGGGATGAGACTCCGAAGTGCCATTCTGGCTGTATTGTACAAAAAGGTTTTATCTCTCAGGAATTTACAGGACCAGACAATAGGGGAGGTTAGTGTCCGTATTTAACATTTAAGTTGCCACTATTTGTAATTTTGCACAAACTTTACAAAATGTTTCAACATTTACATAAAATTATGAAAAAAAGATGTTATTTTGAAAATCTATTCAAATTACAATGTACATTGCTTTGGAAATCTAAACAAAATCAATGAAATGAATGATGATTTTTCATTCCTTAGATTATCAACTTATGTACCAATGATACCCAACGTGTATTCGAGGCAACAACTTGGGGAAGTTTTATGATCAGTGGTCCTCCTCTGGGAATAGCCATGGTTATCTACAGTGCTATATTACTTGGACCTGCTGCATTGATTGGAAGTTCTATGTTCTTTCTAGCCTGGCCATTACAGGTATGTGTTCGAGTGGTCAACAGCGCGTGAAGCGTATAGGTGTAATAATGTTACTTTTTAATTACAAGCATTGATTGTTTTTAATTCAGATTATTACATCAAAGCTAATTGCCAAGTTTAGAGTAAGCGCTGTGAAAATAACAGACAGAAGGGTTCGCATGACTAATGAAATGATCCTCAGTATCGGACTAATCAAAATGTATGCATGGGAAATTCCATTTGGAAAGAAAATTCAAGGTGAGTTTATTTGTTATGGAAGAAATCTAAAAACAATGTGTGGATGTACTAGTTGGGACCAACCACTAGATGTAGGTGATTTACAAACAAATCAAACACAAAAATACACTGGTCTAGTGTATTTTTTAAAGAGTGAATCAACTAAAATGTTAAAACAGTTTGTGTTTTTGTTAACACATATTCACGTTTTTTAAGCACTTTAATGACTAGTCTGAAGAATTATATAATTTATGGTGGCCTTTTGTGCATTGTATATTTTTAATTTTCTAATTGAAGTTATCTTCAATTCTCCAATTTAGATGAATATTTTTGCAATTTTTGGTAAAAAGTGATATTTCCACCTTCTTTGTGAAAACTGCAAGGCCGATTGATTTGATATTATACATATAGACCTCTTAGATTTGTTCATTTCACGATGATATCTTAATTCTCTAATTTGTTTGAATAGTCATTTTTGGTAAAAAGTTATATTTCCAACTTCGTTTTGAAAACTGCAAGGCCGATTTCTTTGACATTATACATATAGGTGGACCCCTCTCAGATTTCATCATGTCGTGATGATATCTTCAATTCTCAAATTTTGATGAATATTTTTTAGCAATTTCGGTAAAAAGTTATATGTTTGATTCTTGTTAAAAGCCGCAAGTGTGATTGATTTGATATTATACATAGAAGTACAAGTGGTCCTCTCTCAGTTGTGTTCATTTTGAGATGATACCTGTAATTTTAATTGAAATGTGCATCTCTAACAGCCAAGTTATCTCTGCCGAGAGGAAGCTTATTAACAGAAATCATTGATATCTATCTGTATACATGTGAATACAGAAGTTGCCATATTGCAAAAGAGCTTGCGATTAGTGATTATAGTAGTTTATTGGTAGTTTTTCAGTTTGGAGAATAACATTATTGTTATTTATTTTTATTTAAAAAATGGAAGGATGTCAAGTTTTGGAATCACCTTTTGAGCAATAAACAGGTAATTGATAATTAGGTGTAACAGGATATGTCAAAACTCTCATATAAGTAAGACAGAAACTAAATAATGAATAAAGTACTTGTATTTTCCATAATATTCACTGTGTGGCGTCATGAAAATATTTCTGTCACTGTGATCAGTTGCTCGTATCAGTAATCTTCCATGTGAATGTAGAATCTCAGGCAGTTACTGTTAGTACTCAGACTTCATTTATTGGAAAACGTATTGGTAAACATTTACAAAGATTGTCATCAATAAACTGTTTTTTTCCAGAAATTCGGAATAACGAGAAGTCATTCTTGGAGAAAGCTGGTTATGTTAACTCTGCTAGTTATTCTGTCACTCCCGTCGTTCAAGTTATGGCAGTATTCTTGACTTTCACAGTCCATATCTTGACTGGAAACGAATTGACAGCAGCCACGGTAAGTTTGAGAAATTACTTCATTTAATACATGTTTTTTTGGGAAAAAATGTCTGTGTTGTGCTTTGGAAATACATTATTACACAATGATCTTGGAGAAATGAACACTAAAATGTTATGATGTATTTTGTGAAATGAATTTTGGAAATGAATATATACTTGAAATAGATTCATGTCAGTTATAGTATGTTTTATGTCTGAATTAAATGATTGGAATTTAATAGATTTGACCATCTTTTAGTCAGCAATTTTAAAATATATTGTTATATATTAAATATGCCAAACTACCTAATATATAGTATATATGATGTTCACGAATGACTGTATCCTGCCTACCAAGTATTCCCTTAGGGGTGGCAGTAGGCCAAATAGAAATTGTCCTACACCTTCACAGTGTTTTATTTAATTTTCACAGGTTGTAGTTATTTTGTATAATCGCATTCTATTATTTTAGTATTTGGTCATCAAATTATTTCTTCTTTACAATGTGCCACCACTGCTTCATTCTGTGTACTCTCATTACATATTCCTGATAGTGTGCTTGTGATTGTTCATGTTTTCTTTTGTGATACGTATATCACAATAATGACTATCTGATTATATGTTAATTGATTTATGATGATTTATTCTTTCCTATTTACAGGCCTATGGAGTAGTTTCTCTATTTATAATAACAAAGATTATGTTGTCGTCTCTTCCACGATCAGTCAAGTTCACTGCCGAGTCAGTTGTTGGAGCTCAGAGAATGAAAGTAAGTTGTTGTTGGTTGCTTCTAATTTAATCTCAATAGATAATTTAAAAATACATTTTTCTGTACATTATGCGTGCTTGACGTCTTGACATTTGAACAATGTGTAATTTATATATTCTAAATGAGCGAGCATGTTACAAGCCGATTACAAGCTGCTATGCGCGTGTGATTTTCAAGGACAAGGTTTTATGTGAGTCGTGACTTGAGTTTTCTGTTCTATGTTGTAATTTTGGACATTTACTATTTATTCATTGTACCCTAATTTTCTAATTTTCAAAGAAACTTCTGTTGATGGAAGAAATTAAACCACATAATGGGGTACCTGAGTGTGGAGATAATGTATTAGAGTTCACCGCGGCAACCTTTGCATGGGATAAACAGAGCAACCAGATGAATGCAACTCTGAACCAGTCTGTAGAAAGTAGGCTGATAGACAATGCTGATATTAGTAACCATGGCAATGCAACATTATTTGACATTAACCTAACCATTATGAGGGTGAGTGTGTGTTTAAGTATATCATTGTTAAGAAGTGAATGTATTAAAAACAGCATCTGCTTAAAACAGTCTATAAACAAAAAGATGAGGCAATTTTTCAAGACAGCGAATGTGTTATAGAACAAAACGCACAGGGAAATATTCCCCGGCTTCTGTGCAATCATGGACACCAAGCAGTTGGGAGATGTTCATAAAAATAATGACATCATTTGTACTGCATTTTACTTTTAGGTTAGAAGCCTACTCATAAATGAAAATACCAAGAATTCATTCATTTTGCAATTTGCAATGTACTTCCAAGGCAATATAAGGATATTCACTTAAAAACAGTTGGGGTTCTCCAGCTTTTTTTTAAGGAAAATTATGCCATTTTGGCACTATTACCGTTATTCCGCTTTTACCATATGTTCCTATGGCAGAGATATTATGCCATATCTGAAATTGTTGTTTAGAATTATTTTTAAAGTCTGGGTTTTCAAAAGTTTAAACAAAAATGGAATTGTTCTAACATTAGTGATTTTCAAATATATAAGCACTGATTTCTCATATCAACTTAGCTGTAACACACAAAATAATACTATTTCATTGTGAAATGAGACATTAGCTTCACGATTGTAAATTGAATATTGTCAGGCGATTTATGACCAACTTTTATGAGTATGCCTTAACATGATAACTCCAAACGATAAACTGGTGATCACATAAAATAATATAGTTTCTAATCCATTGATTCCTTTTTACCTTGCCCGTACCATCAAAGATGGAAGGGAAAGGTATATTAAGGGAAAATTTTTGTCCGGCGTTGTCGTTGATGTTGTTCTTGTCGTTGTCGTCGTCATCGTCGTCGTCGTTAATAGTTGTTATTGTGTGCATAATAACTTTACTAATTCTATTCCAAACTTTATCAAACTTGGTCACCTTATTCATCAGTATAAAGTCTTCCCTGAGTTTGAACAACAGATGTCCTGTATGAAAATATCATGCAAAAATTGAGAAAATCTGATAAAATATTTTGACTGTTTCTACTTGACTGATCACTGGTGATACACATCAAAGGTCACTGATCTCAGTGGAAATATGCATTGTTGTATGTGTTCAATGAAGCAGATGATTTATCTGGTAATAATATCCTTGGTAATGTATCTCAGAATCCCATACTGGGTTTCAAAACCAACTCATGGAGAGATTGCACAGTCTGATACACATTTGCAAATCTATCAATACAATCTTTACGGAAAACAAGATGTCAGAAAATCAATATAAG